CATTGTTGCCAATTAAATTGGTATCCTGATGTTCACATAAACCAGCAAGGTATGCACAGCACCTCAAGTCAACTTGTTCATCAACTGAGCATCTGCACCAGAACCTTCCCTCTCCAAACCTTCTGAGAAATGAGTACCGTAGTACAAAAATTCAGCTTATAAAAGTCTATTCACAACTAAGAACAGTTGCATTCAGGAATGAGCATGGGCTCATGATCTGAGCATCCCAAAGATGCCTCTTTATGTGAGGCACCTCCCCTTGGCATTTGGTAAGTGGTCCGACAATATATGGAGGGTCCCTGGTTGCAACCACTGTTGCAACAAGGATGACAGTCTACATCAAGGTACCCTTTGATTTTGAAGAACAGAATGGCTGCCTTGGTGGACCATGCCTTGGTTCTAGTCCAGGCCTCAAACAGAAGGCAGCTGGAGGCCATCTCTCTCCGTTGTTTGAGCCCAGTCTCTTGGATCAAGAGGGATACTGTGGGGATGGGTACACTTGAAGATTATGGGATCGGCTTTGGTATAATTTTTTAAAACTAGTTCCCCAAGAAATGCATTTCTGTCTGTAAATAAAGTTGGATCATTGATTCACCAGGTCTGGTCTTCTAATTTTTCAGTCCCTTTCAGTTGGCCAACCAGAACTAGGCAGGGCAAATTTCGGGTTCAGGGAAGGTGGAGCTAGAATAAAAATGGTGGCTGTATTGCTAAACACAGCCCATGATCCATATATAGTGGAATGATCTGCACTGAAGTTGCTGCAGTTCAAGGATTCTGAAGGTGAGATGTTTTGTTACTGTGCCCTCAAGTTGTTTCCAACTTATTGCAGACCTAAGACAAATCTATTATGGAGTTTTCTTGCCAAGTTGTGTTTGAAGGGGGTTTGTTATTGCCTCCCTCTTAGGCTGAGAGAGAATGACTAGGCGAAGGTCACCCAGTGGGCTTCTATGGAATCCTGGTCTTTGAGAGTCCAATACACAAACCACCACACCAAACTGGCTCTTTTATTGTTACTCTGTTTAATGGTTAGGAGTCAGAAACCATTGCCAAGCAACTCACTCAATGCTACCAGCAGATCCAAATCAGTCATCTACACACCTATGCTATATTACCTCCAACAACTGAAGTTCCACATAGCTGTTTTGATATGAGCCTTCTAAATAAAATATGCCAAATCCCAGTTGCCACGACTAGTGCTCTCCAGATTTGTTGGACTACTATTACCATAATAATAATAATAATAATAATAATAATAATAATAATAATAATAATAATAAATTTTATTTGTATACCGCCCTAGTGGAAAACCAATCTAGGCGGTGAACAATAAAAATTGTAAATTATAACATAAAAATTGTAAATTACAACATAAAATTGTAAATTACAACATCCCATCCACCATAGTGGTCATGCTGGCTGGGGATGGTAAGAGCTGCAATGAAAAACACCTAGAGATGTGTCTCTTCCTTTTAAAGTAATCCGAACTGTTTCTCATGTTAGAGTGTTCCCTCTATTAATTTGTGTATTCTTATGAAATAGTATTTTCCCTTAATTATTCTACTGCCAATTAATTTCACTGAGTAACTTCAAATCACAATATTGTAAGAAAGTTACTGTTTTCGTTTACCATTCTTCCTACTCCAGGAATATTTCCATGCCCTCTCTTTTTCCCCTCTAGACTCTTCATCATCTTGGTCATCATTTTAATTATATTATTTAGGTTATATACCTGCCAGCATTCCAGCTATCGTGCCATAACCCCAAAGAGGTTTGGAAACGACCTGAACAAATTTCCCCAAGCCGAAAGCCAATCTTGCTCACGAATCGCCTTCTCCATTTTGTCTCCGTCTAAATAAAAAGCGCTTGGCATCATTCTGTGTACAGAACAAGAGGTTGTCGAAGTAGGTGGGTAAACAGTAACTATTTATGGAATGTCTGCCCTGCGCTCCAAGCAAGTTTTAAATATACATAATATTGTGGGGAAAGGGAGAAACTATAAATAGGGCCTTGCACTGTGGGAGGTTTTGTGCAGCAGGCTGAATAAGCGATGGGAATATAATGGCTCTATGAAAGCATGAGAGATAGCTTCTGGTTGTATTTTTCATAACGTGCTTAAAACTGGCACCTGTTTGGCTTAGCCAGTTCACAGGTTCTCTCTTTTTCCCCCTTAACATTTCCTGGATGCTCTTCATTTGCGTAGTGAAAAGGCATGCACCTCACCTTTGACATTTGCCTCAATGGGATTCATGCACAGTGTAAGCAAGCTATATTTTAAAGCATCATATATTGTTGTTGTTGTTGTTGTTGTTGTGTGTCTTCAAGTCCTTTCTGATTGATGGCAATGCCAAGGCGAACCTCTCATGGGTTTTTCTTGACAGATTTCTTCAGAGGGGGGTTGCCATTGTCATCCTCTGAGGCTGAGAAAGAGCGACTTGCCCAAGGTCAACCAGTGGTTTTCCATGGCTGAACCAAGATTCAAACCCTGTTCTCCAGAATCCTAGTCAAACACTCAAACCACGACACCACACTAGCTCTCTCATATTATGTGCATCATCATCATCATCATCATCATCATCCACACACACAAGGCCCTGTAGAACAGGGGTAGGCAACCTTTCCCCTTTAAGGGCCGAAGGACTTCAGCTCCCAGAATCCCAGGAGCTATTGGCCAACATGGGACTATTGGCCAACATGGCTGAGGCTTCTGGGAGCTGAAGTCCCTCGGCCCTTAAAGGGGAAAGGTTGCCTACCCCTGCTGTAGAATAACATACATTTTGGGATATCTTTTTTCAGCCCCTGCACGTGAACTGCTACACTCATTTCTTAGGGCTAGTCTATACTAGGGGCAGAGGTCCAAATGGACTCCTGCCCCCACAAATACCCCAGAGCCACCCTGTGTACCATTTTTTATGCAGAGACATTGGGTAGATTGTCTATACTACCCAACTATCTCTGCAGAGTTTCCTGGGTCCACACTTGCTGCCCCACCGCCGTTGCCCACACCACTGCCACCACAGCTGTCACCTTCAGACTCTGGACCCAGTTCCTGACCCAAACTATGTATTTCTGTCCCTCTCCTCCTGGCTCCACTGGTGCGTCCATTCCTGTAAGGCATACGAAACGCTCCGCATGTCATCTGGGTGCCTGGTCTTGATGCAAATGGCATCACCAATACTGCCAGGAGAAGGGAGATGTTTGAAAAATTTATCAGGTGACAATGGTTAGTTAGTTAGGAAAGTTGGAAGGTGGTGGTAAGGAAAGCAGTGGCCCCTAGTATAGACTAACCCTAAGACATGAGTGTAGCAGTTGACTTGCAGAGGCTGAAAAAAGATACCCCAAAATGTATGAACAGTGGTAGTGAAAAACTCCAGGGAAATCTTTGGTTTGTAAAAAAAAAACCCACCAAACCAGCAATAAGTTAGTAGAGTCAGCCCATGGTATCCCCTGGAACCAAGACTCTCCATGGGCACCAAAATCCATGGATGCTCAAGTCCCATTGAATATAAAATGGTGACCCTAA